GGGCGACATAAGTCAAGAGGACCGTAGTCGGCGGGCGACGGAGGTCGGAAAGACTGTAGTCTGACGACGAAGATCAGAAGGACAGCGTCAGGTATAAGTACAACAATGGAAAGAAATCCATCTTCGCGTAGACGTCCAGCGAAGTCCGATAACCGGTAGAAGTCCGGCGTCGGGTAAAAACTTGGCGAAGAGTGAAGGTTCGAAATCGGGTAGAAGTCCGATGTCAGTTGGTGGCAAAGGAGAACTCCGGCTTCACTTGGGCGGAGTTTCGGATTCAGGAGGGAACTCTGTTGCAAATTGAGAAGAATTTCAGCATCACGTGGAAGTTGGGAAGAATTCCTGCGTTCTACCGAATATCACGCAGAATCCCGGCGTGTTCGGGCGACAGGAAGAGCTCCGGCGGTGGTCGAGGAGGAGAGGATTCGCCTTTTCCCCTTTTCCTTCTTCTCTCTCTTCACTTGAGTCCCCTTTGTGTAGAATGAGGGCTATATTTATAGTTTTTCTGGAGTGGCATAGCTTGTAAATAGGCGTGAGATCATGGGCGAATTGGGAGTGGTTTGAATGGACGGCCGATATTGAATCCTTTGATCATGCACCGTTCGTTGGACATTTGAAGGCCTTAATGATGTCGGAATTCGGTGATCTTGGGCTCGTTGGATTCGTCTCGTCGAGCCGCTCGATTCGAGTATAAGCTCGTTAAAATCGGAGACCTTTTGGTAACTCAAATTGCAGTTTGAACCTTCCAATAGCGCTTCAGGTCCTTGATTCGGACCCATTTGGACTTGGATTCGGTCGAATTTGGTGTCGTTGGGTTCGTATTTCCGAGACGCTCAGTTTGACTGTAGACTCGCTGAAATCGGAGTTCCGGTGCTTCCGGATTTATTTTTTGAAGTTTCCAACTAGCTTTTGCCTCGAGATTCGTGCCTGATCAAGCTAATTTTGTGATGCCGTATCATATAATATTTATTTAATATTAAATATGGACATTATAAGTTATTGTGATACTTTTTTGTCTAACTAATGCAAAAATTAAATATAAGAAAAATGAATAGACCTTTGGCCTTTGGGAAAGCATTACTTAAAAGAACAATGATAATGCAATACTCCCTTATATTTAAATGGTATTAGACTACTTTCAGTTCACATAATGTATTGAAGAAAATATGCGAATGTGGCCAAAAACTGCAGTCTTAGTTAGCTATGTGGACTATCTAAAAATGAGCTTACGAGCTACAACTAAGCCTGTTAAAATAGCCGATTTAAGGCCGTTAGAGCGAGAGATTATTACGTGCGGCATTTGAACCGTCCGCAGGCGAATTCGGACGCGCCACATCACCCGGATGCACCAGGCCCCGTGGGAAAGCATGACTTAAAAGAACAATGATAATGCAATACTCCCTTATATTTAAATGGTATTAGACTCCTTTCAGTTCACATAATGTATTGAAGAAAATATGCGAATGTGGCCAAAAACTGCAGTCTTAGTTAGCTATGTGGACTATCTAAAAAATGAGCTTACTAGCTACAACTAAGCCTGTTAAAATAGCCGATTTAAGGCCGTTCGAGCGAGAGATTATTACGTGCGGCATCTGAACCGTTCGGAGGCGAATCCGGACGCGCCACATCACCCGGATGCACCAGGCCCCGGGTGACATGGCGCGTTTGGATTCGCCTCCGGACGAATCCGAACACCGCACGTAATAACTTTTTTCATTAGAACACCAAAAATGGAAGATTGTGGGCACCTCGTTTTGATGATTGATAGAATGGAATGATGTAAAGAAGCTGATAGATAGATTCCAAACTTCCCAATAGAATGAATAGATAATTTATTAAGGTCAAAAACAATAAATAATTGGCAAAACAAATGGTTAATAGTAAGAATTTTTCTTAGGATGGAAAACTTATTATAGAGTAGGAGAGGTTTAGCTTATGGCCCAAAGCTCTTACCAACTGGATTAGCTTGAAATATTGAAGTTTAGGAAGATATATCTTTCCCAAAAAGCTGTGCTATCCCTTTTCCCGGATCATCTTGTTTGATTAGGGACTCCCCGACCAAAACCTGCAATAGCAATAGATGTAATTTTCACTACTAAACCCCACAGAAGCTTTTTTTTTTTTTTCTGCACATATCAACTTCAAATAAACCAAAAAAGAGTAAGAATGTGAAGGAAAATAAAATAATACAACAAATATTATTAAATTGTCAGCATATTCATAAAGATTAGAACTGTTGGGAAAAAAAAATTCTTAATTATGTTTTTGTAACAATCCAAAGCACGAGAAAATACACATATTTTAAACTTGAATAATCTAATATGTATTTTACAAGCTATATTCCAGCATTTTATCAAAAAGACTTTTTTGAAGACTTCATGTTTAACCTGTAAAAATAAATTTAGATTAAAATGATATTTTATTCTATTTACCTCATACATTTATACTATAGATTAAAAGACTATTTATATTGGTTTATTACCTCTTGCATTAAGTAACCATAATATTTACTCTTTTTTCAACACATACGTATTGAATAATGATTAATATCAACTTTACTTTTAAATCTTAAATTGAGATTATTTAAATTAAAGTTTACTATTTATTGCTTGTACTTGTTTGGAATTGCTTCAATATTCTTCTACTTTTTACATATAACTTAGATAATCTTGATTTAATTATAATATAAACTATCATGTAAGCATTTGCAACTTTAAGTCTGAATGTTAGGATAAAAAATCATTTCGATATACAACAAATAGTTTATATTATTTCGATAAGCACTTGATACTCACCCTGTATTTCACCAAGAATTATACAACCAACCTCTCTGTTTGAGGTTGTTTGTGCTTGCATGGAATTAGAATTCCAGAATCTAACCATTACTAAAAATTCGAGTATAATACTAAGAGAAATTACCGCATGGGCGCCAGCATTTTGAACAAACGCGATATCTTCAGGAGTAAACAATCCAGACTCTCCCACAACCTGAAACATTAAGAATCAACAGTGAAGGAATATTTTATGAAAAGCATGAAGACATGTAAGAAAAACTTATTGCGATTAACATGGACACAAGCAACATGAATTTTTGTACAGGAGTGGACCACTTCAACAATCTGAAAATATATTAAGTACTTCAGAAATGTCCTCATTAAATGCGATGCTTACGGTTATGCCCTTTTGGCGAATAACCTCGCCTCTTTCTCCCTCTAGAAGCTTTTTTGTGTTGGAAATATCAACCACAAAAGTTTCTGCAGAAAGTAAGATGGTTTTGTTAATGCAACTATAAACAAGAGGTGAACAATTTTCATATCCGAATTAAGGTTTTATCAGGGTTTCCAACAGCTACAAACAAGAAGAAAATGGAGAAAGAATGGATAAGGATGCAAGTCATATAAACAATTTCAATACAAATTTGTTAACGATGAAACAATATCCATGTGCTTCCTGCTTTTTTTATTTAGCCATTGAGCTTCAGCACATCATCATCATCATCATCAACCTTATCCCAAACTAATTGGGGAAACTTAAGGATCCTTTTCCATTCACTGTATCGAGCAACAAAAAAGGTGATAGCTAGTTTGCTCTAGTATTTTACCCTTACTTCTAATAAAATTAACTTTGATCTACCCATACTGACTCCTTGGTATTCCTCAACACATAATTCTATCTCCCCGCCCTACTGGGACAACTACATTTTTGTATTTACATGCCCAAAGCACTAATTACCATTCCCAGTACCGCATCTACAGTAATTCTGACTATTTCACGCACTCTATTTTATTTTATTTAATTTTTTTGAACTGCTTTAGCAGTAGCAGTATCACGCACTCTAATATCATTTATCACTCTATCCATGATAGGCTTCGCTTTATAAGGCTGTTGTCAAAAAAACCTGATGAGAAGTTGTTGATGGAGTTGTGAAAGCTAATCTTGTTTAAGCTATTGATTATGTTTGGTAGAGCTACTGGTTGCTAGCATCGATAAAAGCATGACCAGTTCAACGTTAGCTTCCAAAATCCAAATTCATCAAAACATTATCACTTTATTTACTGTAAAATACCAACACACGAACAAATATATGGCATCAAATATTTTTTGCAGAGTTTCATCTTCTTATGGGTAAATAAACTCCGCGACAACAATGATACAAATACAGCATTCTAGATGAGATATGATGCGAGACCTTGAGTAATTTCATTGTCATTTCATCTAGTTTAAAATTGATTCAAACTTAAAGACAAAAAATAAATATATAACAAGATGCAAAAAAGAAACTCAGCTGGTTTATAGGTCTATTCAACACAATCAGAAGTATGAACATAATGATGATATTTATGATTTTGTTTGGGACAGCTTTCATACTATTTTTTAAAACGACTTTATAGTACAAAAAATTTAAATTCTAAAAAGTTGTTTTAGAAAGCAAAAAGAAAGCTGACCCAAATGAAGCCTATATAAAAATTATAAAGGTAGCTGAATGGTAAAATGCTTGTATTTAGCTTATTCAAAAAAGTAATACTAAAAGAAGACTTGTACACAAAACGAAGAAATATGACTTGATCAAATGGATGTTTATCTGGTTACAAGGAATAACCTTGAACCACCAATCCAACAACTTCGTGGACTTTCCCAGCTCCAGCCAAGGTAGAGTAGCTACATCGCATGGCCATATGGGATACCGACCCTCCTTGCCAATGTGGAATAGCCTTCACAGACCCTCCTCATCCACAACACAACCCCTCAAAAATTGAAAAGCTTGATGGGTGTAATTACCTTCGTGATCGCAATCCCAATTTTTCTGGCATTGCAGCCATAAACTCAAATTTCTTCCTCTCCAATTTTTGGTCATTGTCATCTCACGATCCTTATCATGACCCTTGTTGCACTTAAGCGAGGCTATATTCCTCGGGTTATTACTAGTTTGTAATAGTGTAATATGCGGGGTATTTAGGTTTTTTTCTTTCTTTCAAAATACAAATCTCAGGAATACAATGCCGAACATGAAACTTGTCTAAGACTCATTTCTTCCATCATTGACAAAATTTTCAAGAATATCACACATGTGTGATCCAAATAACCATCACATAATTAAAAAAATAATAATTTTTAAAAGCAATGCATGGAGATATGACATCCAAATGAAGCTTTTAATTTTACAAATATCCATAGTAATTCTCTTGTTTCTACCTCACTCACTTAGCTATCAATGAATTTTTTTTTTCTTATCAACGTGAAAAGGTTAGAGTAGCTCCAATGGAAGGTAAGATTAGAGAGAGTCGCCTTAGATGATTTAGTCATTGTTAGACCGATCCATTGGACCGTTCCAGCCGGTCCACACGGGACCAACTCAGGCGGAGAACAGGCGGAGAATTCCGCCTGTTCTGTAGGCCGATCGGGCCGCCGAAGCTTAGGGGACCATTTTGGAAGGCTTTTTGAGGAAATTGGGAGAGAAATTTGAATGTAGGGATTGTTTAGGGATTTCCTTTTGATTTATATGCATTAAATAGTTAATTTTCCTAGGGTTTGGGTACCTTGAATTTGGCTGAAATTTGAGATCACTTAGAATAAGGTTTTTCTTTGGGCTTTAGCGGCGTCTAGAGATTTGGGAGAGATCGATCCTCCTCTCGAATTGAGGATCAATTGTATCTTGCTATTTTATGTTTTCCTTTCATCAAATAATACAAATTATCTACTGTTTTCGTGATTTTGTGCGGATTTTTGTGAAGATTTCTCGCTGTTTTTCAGAGATTGATAGGAAATACTTGAGATCTACAAGTGTTTCCTATCAAATTGGTGATGGGGACATCAGCAGCGATTTTGACACATGTACCTTCAGGAGATGCGGGAGATCGACGGCCACGATCATGATTTGTATTTTCATCATTTTATGTAGTAGTTTATTTTTATTTTATGTTTTTCCGTTTTTACCCTTATGGGTATTTGGTAGCTATTGCAGCCCAAGGGGCATTTTAGTACTTTATTTTCTTTGTCATTTTGAGGCCTATTTATATGGCCCATTTCTCATGTAAGAGTTAGTTTTGAATGAATGAAAATTTGCTCTCTTTGTTCTCTTTGTGAGTGCATGAAAAGATCTCTTAGTGAGTTCTTCCTCTGAGATCTCTTAGTGAGTTCTCTAGTTTTATTTTATTTTGCTTGTTCATCATCTCCCTCTCATTAGAAGCTCCACAAAAATCCCCTTCCCCTAACCCCACCGCCGGCCCTTCCTTGGATCTTGCCGCCGGCCACCACCACCATCCCGGCCAACCACCTCCCCGACGCTCCTTTCCCCCATCCGGCCCACTCCCCTCCCTCATCCAATGTTGAATTTGAAATTTAGACTTCAAATTTTGAATTCTTTCCAAATTTGGAATTCCAAATTAGGAAAGTTTGCATGATTGAATCAAATTTCAATTTACTTTAATTTGGAGTTTTCAAATCCTTGTCCACATCATACACCTAAATTTGGAAAACTCTTCTCCCTCTCTCCCCTTGGTTATGAATTTGAAATTCAAATTCCAAGAGGTATTGATTACCTTCCAAATATAACTCCTAAATTTTAGGCCATCTTCATAATGAGATTTCAATCCTAATTTTGAAATTCAAAAGCAGCCTAACGTTACATGTATTTTAGGAAACTCTTGCCATACATTAAACCTGAAATTTCAATCCAGATTTCTTATTAAATCTGCTGTAATTGTGGGCCCCATTTTATTTAATACCCAGCCCCCCTCTCTCCCCCATATGGCCGGCCACCTCACCATTATTGCCTCTCTCTAATTGCCACCTCATTACCATTTAAACACCTCTTAATTACCTCCCCTCTCCACGTAATTACAGTTTTTTATTTCAAATTTCTAACCTGACATTTGAAATCAATTATTCCTTCTCACCTCCGCCTCCCCAAGTCCCGCCCAAAGCCCAAACTCCCTCTGTCCTGACGTTTGGCTTGCTGCCCCCTTACGCCAGCAGGAAGACCTTGCTGTCCAGCACACTGGATGCCCACAAGTTGATGTCCCGAGCTTCCAGCAGCCTAGAAGAGCCATCCAACGTCTCTTGCACCTTCATGGTTGCTGTCCAAGATCTGTCCAAGACCAAACTGCTGCTGTCCAGAGGAATTCGGCATCTCTTCCTGCTGTCCAGCCAGTCGGGAGAGCTTCGAATGCTGTCCTAAAGTTTCCGATTGCTGTCCACCACATCAAGAAGGGTTTTGGTTGCCGTCTACTTCATCTCAAGCATCCAAACAGCCACTAAAGCTTCATGTCTTCTATTTCTTTGGGTAAACTCATCATCCGACCCTTTTATCTTTGTAGCTACTTATCTATTGTTGTGATATCTTGATTCATGAAAATCATGCTAATCCTCTCCGCTAAAACCTAGTAATTGGATGAGTTGTGTGAGGGATCTTCTCATAGCAACTAATCTTATTGTTAGTCTAGGGATATTTGTGGAAAACCATTCATGTACGCAACGTTAGATTGACTTGATTGTTATATGATCTTAACTCTTACCCGTGTGATTCAACCGTAAGCTCGTCTTTCCGTTCTTAATGTTTTATCTCATCGTTCAAATTATTATAAAGATATAATTATGTGTTCTATCTAAAATTAAGCGTGCAAGATTTCATTATGAAACCCATCATCGCATGTACGTTCCACATCAATTGGTATCAGAGCAAGTCTTGGGACCATTCGTGGGCTGTTTTGGGTGAATTTTGGCGGCTGATTTTTGGACGGGAACGGACAAAGTGCTGTTTTTGTATTTCAAATCTGGAATTTTTGGATTTACAAAAGTTCATATCGAGATGGCGGCCAAGAAAGTTGATGCGCTAGAAGAGATGCTTGAAGGGGAGATGAACCAAATCAAGAGAAGGGTGGAGGAAAGGATTTCATCCATTGAAGGACAAGTAGCCGATCTTCGGGACATGATGAAGAAAATTTTGGAAATTCAAAATCACACAGCAGCTTCCGTGACAAAAGAGGAGGAAAGAAAAAACACGAATTCAGAAATTCGTAGGGAGGAAGACGAGGTGAAAATCATGGAGGTAGAAAGAAGAAAACCCTTTATGGAGCCTTTCCAGAGGGAGGATGGAGGAGGTAGGTATGGAGAAAGGCATGAGTATAGAGGGACGGAGCAAAGGGGTGCTAATTGGGAACGTCGGGAGGTACACTATGGTCGCCAAGGTGCTGATTTTGAAGGAAGAAGAGGGGAATTCAAAGGTGGTTTGGGCTATGGAAGGGCAAGAGAAAAC